TGTGTGTGTGTGTGTGTGTGTGTGTGTCAGGGAGGTAAGGAGTACCTGATGAGGGCTCATTTCGGGCTTCCCAGCGTGGAGGCGGAGGACAAAGAGGGAAAACCACCGATCAGTGTGAAGTTTGAGATTCCCTATTTCACCACTTCTGGAATACAGGTAATCAACCATCACGTTAGCCACACTTCCGTCACATTTAACTCATGCACAAAATTGCACCAGACATCTGGATATGTAAAGCATCATTTCCATCCCATGTGTTCAAGAGAACAAAATCATTACTGGGAAATCGGTGCAAAATATCAAATAAAAATGGATGTTGCTGCAGTTTCGGAAGAAAGAAAGAAAGCCTACATTTCAAGTAGGGGTGTGCGATATGACGATTTTTAACCGTGGACGATTAAAATGTCTCCACGATCTGCTTTTAAAGAAATATCGTAGTATCGTGTTACAGTGCATTCTAGCAGTTCAGTTCTGGCGCCGTCTCAACTGTACAACACGACGTAGCCTACACATGATCACACGTTAATGAATAGGTACGGGACACTGCAATTCACAAAAGTTCATTATTTGCATAAGCCTTGCCGGTTAAACATTTAATTCACGCGCTGATGCGCTGTTCTAACGTGCGCTTTCCTGACCGCATAACCCCCGACGCTCACAGGCACTAGAAGCCTGTCAAACAGCGCCTGAATACTGGACTAAGTTATCTTTTGAGTCTTATTATGCTAATACTGTTAAATACACACAATGCTTACATAAACAGGCTATGTCTAAAGTGAAAGCAAATATTTGAGAGAATATCTGGTGTAATATGCGTCTATATTAAACGCGTTGCGTGCTGGTCTATAAACGACAGGAGTAAATAGTACTGCCGCTTGTCCTTAAAGGGATAGTTCACAAAAAACAAAAAAAAAATCTGTCATTATTTACTCACTCTAATGTTGTTCCAAACCTGTATTAATTTCTTTCTTGTGCTGAACACAAAAGATGATTTTTTTTTTTATGTGGATAACCAAACTGTTGCTGGTCCCCATTAACTTCCAGGAGAACCTATAAAAAACAGGGGGACCAGCAACTGTTCAGTTACCCACATTATTCAAAATAACTTTTATTTTCAACAGAAGAAAGAAACTTATTCGGGTTTAAAACATCTTGAGAGAGTAAATTAAGACCATTTTCATTTTTGAGGGAACTATCCCTTTAGTGTTAATAAAACAAAAAACACAAGGAGAATATCACTCACTGACTGAGAACTTTAATAGTTGCTTTAATAAGAATCAATTTATTCAGTGAAGTAGTGTTTTAATTTCATATGTGTTAATTTAATTACTTTCTTCAATGCTACTGTAAATACACCTACTGCATCTGAAAAAATAAAGCACTATTTATTTAATTTGAATATTAATTTGTGTAATGTTTATCTTGTCTTATTTTTTTAATAACAAAGAAAATAATGACAAAGATTGTTATCTTCGCCACTGGCCTAAATGTATGCCTTTCTTTTTTTCTTTTGTTACCTAAGGCTTTGTTTTTAGCATAGGGACATTAGTTTGGCTGTAATGAACAGCCAAAATATTAAAACCAACTTGAAAAAGAATCGTGATAAAAAATCGTGATCTTCCTAAAAAAAAATTGTGATATGATATTTTTCCCATATCGCCCACCCCTAATTTCACTTTTGACTGCGACAGAGCCAAGTGTGATCCCTTCTTTGAATTTGAGGGTATTTGACCTGGAAAGTCCTTCTATTTCAGGTTAACTAAGGTGTGGGAACCCTAATGAACCTTATTGTAAAGTGTTACCGATAGTGTAAGTTCAAAAAGCATCACTTTTAGTTGTTGCGTCCAAACGTAATGCTGACGCATTTGTAATGCATTACATTTTTAACAAAAATACTTCATGATTAAATGTGTTTCTGATGAATATGTCAGTTTCCAGATTGTAGTCTGCCTCACCTGAGCAGATTTGTCATCATCATGATACGCTTCATGTTTTTGACATAAGGTGGCGCTGCTGACTGTTTAGTCAGTGGATGAATTGGTATTTTCCCAGATTCTGAACACCTGTTGCTCAGGCTGTGGCTGCTTTTTCCTTTCACACTGATAGATGGCGCTATGAATCTGTATTTTGAAGGATTTATTCACTTGAAATATTTTTTTGATGCATTAATACAGGTTTGATAACCAAAATCACACACCCTCTTGTTGAGAATGCATTCTGCTTCATTACTGTTCTAAGAGTAAGTTCATTTCACAAAATAGCATGTTGTTGATTTTTTATCAAGAGTTGAGCAATGTCGTCTTGATGAAATGCTCTTTAGGAAACCTTGGTATTGTCTGTGTACTTTCTCCACGTCTTGGCAAATCTGTGGTGGAATGAGTTCAAATGCGGCAAACCAAGTAAAAACTAAAATTCTGTTCAGTTACTTACTCGTGTTCACTTTTGAAAGACAATTTTTATAGATTTTTGTCTATTCACCTAAAACTCTGATGCTTAATAAAGTACGTAAAGAGATCGGCAAAGAAATCTTAGCTTAATCATAATCTTTTTATGATTAACAGATTTAATTAAGGCTTTTATTCACAAATAAAGATTGATCAAGGGCATGTTCAAACATGCTTGCTTTGACTTTCAATGGTGAGATCATTAAAAATATCTTCATTTGTGTTTTGAATATGACTGAAAGTCGTATGATTTTGTACCGATTTTCTATTTTTGGTGAACAAAAACTCTTTAGGGGATCTATACTCTGTCACGCTAATGTTTTTGAGAGTGTTAATGAGGATTAGATGCTTTTATCTTAAATATGGCGTCTGACACCAGTGTTGTTAACTAAAAGTATTAAAAAAACATTTTTTGTTCATTAAAATAAAACTGAAATACAAATATTAGATGAAAAGTGTTGCCTTCTTCTGTGTCTCACTGAAATAAAATACATTTTATGTTACTAAAGTTACTTTTAATAAAAAAGAAAGGTAAATAAATACAAAAATTAATAAGAAAACGCGTTTAACAAAGTTATACATACAATTAAAACTAATTCAAAAGTATTAAATACATAAATAATACACTAAAATATCACTATATTGTACTCCAGTTATAGTGGTCAATGACAGCAGAATATTTTATAAATATTTTCTGCTTTAAAAATCCTAAAATCCATAATTGTTCACCCAAAAGTGAGATTGTCATGTTTTTTTATAAACCTGTATTATTGTTATTATTTTAAACCTGTATGATTTTTTCATAAAAATGTGTTTTTGTCCATACAGTGAAAGCCAATGGGGTCCAATGTAGTTTTTGTTTCATTGTAAGCAGAAACGTTCTTCAAAATATCTTCTTTTGTGTGCACAGAACAACATGTGGGTGTAGAAATGATGTCAGATCTGTGTGTAAAGTAGAGGCCGACCAATCCATATATTTTTGGGTTTTAAAATCCGATATTCCGATATATCGGCCAATATTTATTTATTTTTTGTTATTAAATATTGTTGGATTTCAAACACGTGTAAAAGAAAAGCTAACTTTTCTGCACAAGATACGTTTGATAGTTTTTCTCCGTCTAAATGTTCACTCCTCGCAAGTATAACTTACATTTTACAATGCAGGGACTGTAACTAGAGATATGCTAGTTATAAATACAGCAATCATTACTTTATTTAGGCAGAGAAAGTTCATTTCCAAGCTCATTAATGTTAACGTTAGCGGTCTTCCACTGATGATAGTGGCATTAGCTAGCTTTGTGGTTAGCTAGTCTATGATGAGCCATAATTTAGCAATAGATGACATCATACTGCAAATTGTAAAACATACATTTTCAATATAACAGGCCAAGGAGAGATGATTGAAGCGTGTTTCATCCGTTTTTATTTTATTTTTTAAATATTCATTTATCGGCCATTATAACTGCCAATACCGATATTATGGGAAAATGCCTAATATCGGCCGATATATCGGTCTGGCTCTAGTGTAAAGTATCCCTTAAAACAGTTCAGAGAATCATATACACGATTGTGTTTTTGATCGTGTTTCATTAGAATAAACCGTTTAAGTTGCTTGCTGTTGGAGCACCAAAGCTGTGTGTGTGTGTTGTGGCTGTGACAGTGTCCTGATCCAGACAGTCGGTCAAAGCCAGGACAGACAGAACAGAACCGCAGCTCCTGCTGAATCTCGTGCTTTAGCAGACGGTGTGTTTATTTGTTACGGTCAGTCGTGTGTTTCTCAGGCCTCAGCAGTTTTTCAAGGCGGGCGACTGGATTGGAGGACAGTTGAGCCGTACGAGTGTGTGTGACGTCTTTCTCCTGCAAACAATATGATGCTTGTTGATCTGAAGATGTTTGACTTTGAACTGAAGTTGTGCACTGCAGTTGTGGATTGAGCTGGATTCAAAATCATGTTTTTAAAGGCATACTCCACTTTTTTTGGAAATAGGCTCATTTTACCACTCCCCCAGAGTTAAACAGTTGGGTTTTACCGTTTTCGAATGTATTCAGCCGATTTGTTTTTATATTTAGAAGAATATCAGTAACCAGACAGTTTCTGGTCTCATTGACTTCCATAGTATATTTTTTTCCTACTATGGAAGTCAATGAGACCAGAAATTGTCTGGTTACTGATATTCTTCTAAATATCAGAAAATCGGCTGAATGGATTCGAAAACGGTAAAACTCAACTGTTTAACTCTGGGGGAGTTGTAAAATGAGCCTATTTCCAAAAAAAGTGAAGTATCCCTTTAAATGTGCAGAAATTAAAGATGTTTATTATGTTTATTTATAATAAAATTGGGTTAAAACAACCCAGCATAATTTAGTGTGTACTGTAACTAAGTTCACCTGTTTCACTGGCTGTGCAAATGCATGTTGTAATATTACGTTTATGCTGTTTATAATAGGGATGGTATGATCCACTTTTTTGCCTCTGATACCTGGGATTAAGTACTGATCCAATACTCAAATATTAATAAATTAAAGCTGCAAGCAGCATTTATCGGTGTTCAAGCAGTTCAGGCCTTTACGCACAAAAGCATTGAAAGGCATTCAATTTTATTTAACATGCATTTATGCACGGACATAATAGATGTAAAACACCATTTACAAACAATACATTACGCGATTATAGCACCTATGATCCGATCCTCACGAAACTTTGCACGCTTC